CTTCTCTCCCATCTCTTCAACTTGCCTATTTTCATCCATCCCAATCCGATGAGCCCCGCCCACCTTACTCCATTTTTGTTTTGTTTTTATTCTGCCATCCAAGGAATCAATAAGTAATTTGTAGATCAAGAAGCAGAGAGAGCTAAGAGCAGTGGATGGGAATGAGGTAGTTCGTGCTTTTCCCATTTTTGCCAAACAAGCATTATCTCAAAAACAGGTGCACCTTCCCCCCTTCAGCCATCTATCCATTAAAGTGGTTTAATTACTTCCTGAACACTAGACAGTTAGATAATTAGAAGGTGGCATTCAGACCAAAAATTTAAGCCACCCTCTTCAATCAGGGTAAAATTGTCTGATCAAGAAGCTAATTAAGAATCAAGTGTAGTGGCTGTTATTGGAAAGAGTTAGTTTGGGGCTTCAAAAGATCTTGCTTCTCTTTCCCCGAGGCCCCCATCTCCTCCATTGTCACTGAGGCTTTGTTAAGCTCCTACTACTGTGTTGGCTGCCCAACCCTCAACCATTCCTGGCCTCCGTCCTTGAGGGGTTTATAGTCTGGGAAAAGAACATTGAGGTGCTCAAATAGGCTTGTGGAAATAATGAACACAGGACACGTATTCACAAGGTTGAAGGAAGTAAGTGGGGTAGGATGATGAAACGGGGCAGAGAAGATGTCTCCTTGTCCTGTATCAGATAGGCCATATCAAGGAGCCCATTGGTGGTCTTCAGATTTATGAATTCCTAGATTCATCTGTGTGGTTTTTGTTCCAGGGAGATGGTCCTTAGCCTTCATCAGATCCTCAAAGGGGCACATGACCCAAGAGATTAGGAACAATTGGGCCACAGGGAGACTGTCTCTCTAACAAACTCTGGAAAACTTGATGCCAGAGTGCAATTTCAGGAACTGTTGTCACATTAGAGGAAAGAGTAGCAGTGGGTGGCTATCTTGTCTCCTAGAATCACAGTGTGTTCAAGGTTGGAGAAGCTTTGAGATGTTTCCATCCCATCTCTGCTTGACATTGAGGAGGCTGGAGTGACTCATTGTTATTTGCTGTGAGTCAGCTCTTCCCCCCAGAGGCCAGGCCAGCAGCCTCCCCTCCACTGACAGTTGCTACGGGGTGAATGCCCAGTCTTCTCACTCCCCAACACAGGGCCCAGCCTCCCAGACTACCCTCATGATATGGACAATCACCCCTTTCCTTTTATGTGCTTCCCTTAACTGGCTCCATCTTCCCAGCCCTTCCTCTGGACCTCATGGTCCATCACTAGCAACTTCTGTGAGTGTTTCTTTCATTGAAACAGCTGTCTTCTGAGGGCACTGTTTCTTGCTGTCTCAAGTGGTAGCTGCTTTTTCTCCCATATACTCTATTCTACGGGTCCTGGAGGTGAAGTCCACAACCTCCTTTCTCCCCGTTACCACTTCCAAACTGCTTTTCTGCCTTTATCCTTCAGAAGCTTCAGTCCCTTTGAAGTGCATGTAACCATATTTGATGACACTTTCCCCTTCTTGATGCTATTGACTGCTGGCTGACTACTCATTCCTCACATTCCTGGGGGCACCTAGTTCATACATTCCCTCCCATCATTCCTGTCTGTAGCATCCCTGTGATCAGTAGCTCTCAGGAGAGGTTGGTACCATCCCCTAGGGGACATTTTGGAAATCTTTGAGATTTTTTTTGTTTGTTTTCTAATGTAGTTGTGCCCCAGAATTTGTGTTGAAATCCATACTGTCTGGTTATAAATGACTTCTCCTGTGTTTTTGGTTTTTTTACATTATCTGTTTAGGGCATCACATTAATTTATTTTTTAAAAAATCATGGTAGCTTATTTATCTTATGAATTTCACTTCAGGATAAGAAAGGGGATATTAAATTATATTTGTTTTAAAAGGGGGGCATTTGGTCTGATAGCATTGAGGATGGTTGATGCAGATAATCTGTCCAGCTTTTTGGTTACCTCATTACTCCACAGGTCTTTTCCTCTAGCCCACCTCAGCCCCTGCCCAAGTGGACATTCCCTAGACCTCATCATCACCAAGAACCACACCATTTTCAAATTCTGGATTTAAACATCCTGCTCTCTGAGCTTCAACCCCCCAATCCCATTCCCGTAGTTCATTAACTCTAAAACTTCAAAGAGACCTCTTGGCATTGACCCTATAACTTTCCATTTTTCCTTATCCCTTTTGTGTATCACTTTCCTCCTCTCCAGCCCAGACTTCATGGGCCAGTGTGACAACCACAACCTTGCAAACATCCATAATTCTGTGTCCTCTCTTGCCTGTCTCACTTGCCTGGGAAAAGTCTATCCTGATTAAACTCAGCTTTCTCACTCCATAGGTGCACCTAGCAAGCAGTTGAAGGTATGGAGAAAAACCACACAACTCTTTTCAAATTTGTGGCCACAAACCTCAATTGTCAACACTGTTAAACAATTATTTCATATCTCCTTTGTAAATTCAGTCTTCCACTTTCCAAGATAATGATTTCCCACTTTTCTTCTCTCCATGAATCTTCAACACTTCCTCCCGTATCCCGTCCATCTTAGCTGATGAAATTATAGAAGAGACAGAGGCACTTGGATGAGAACTATCTGATTTGTACGTCTATCATCCTCCCTCCACCTGTGCCTACTAAGCCAGTGGACACTCTTGATTCTACCTGAGCTGCCCACTCAACAGAATCTGAGAGTTAGCACACATTCTTTCTTGAAATGTATCCTTCTCTAGACTTCTGGGTCTATACACTTGCTGGTCTTGTGTTTATATCACTTATTGCTCCTTCAGAGCCTCTTTTGCTGGCTCTACCTCCACCAAACCTCTACACACGAGAAGGCCCAGGAATCTGCCATTGGCCCTCTTCTCTTATCTGTCTACCTTCTCTCCCCAGAAGATCTGGGCCATTTCTAAGGCTTCAGAGTCTACCTCTACACTAATGACTTCTACCTCCAGGCCAGCCTTCTCCCTAAACTCAGACTCATATGTCCAACTGCCCACCTGGATCTTCCAGTGAGATTTCTATCAGCCATTTTAAATCACCATAACCAAAATATAACTACTAATCACTGTGGCAGGCAGAATAATGGCCCCCAAAGACATGCAGGTCCTAATCCCTGCAGACTATTAATGTTACCTTATATGGCAAAAGGGACTCGCAGATGTGACTAATTTAAGAACTGTGAACTAGGGGAAGAATCCTGGATTATTTGGGTAGATTGAATGCACTCCCAAGTGTTCTTATAAGAGCAAGACAGAGAGAGACATTGACAGAAGAGTAGGAGATGTGACATTGGAACAAAGATGTGGAGCCATCTAGGTAAGAGACAGGGAATGCAGGCAACTTCTAGAAACTTAAAAGCAAGGAGATAGATCCTCTTCTCAACGCCACCAGAAAGAACCAGTCCTCTAACACCTTCACTTTAGACTTCTGTCTCCAGTACTATAAGAGAATACATGTGTGTGGTTATAAGTCACTAAGTATATGATCACTTGTTACAGCAGCAATAGGAAACTAATACAGTCATGACCACTGCCACATAAATCCATCCCTCCTACCCTCTTGCCGTCCACATATTAGCAAATGGCACCACCACCAAAAGCTCCTGAGTTGTCCAGATTTTTCTCTTGACTCATACCTTACCTGTCAGCAAGCCTGTGAGCTCTACCTCTACATATGTCCTGACCACACGATTTCTCATGGAACCCTCTGCTATAACTCTAGCCTGGGCCACCATCCCTTCCTGCTTGAATCACTGTCATTTCCTGCTCCTGTTCGTTTCCCTCATCCAGTTCCACAGGAGCCAGGATGAACTTTCTGAAGGATAAACCAGATCACATCACCCTGCCCCCCATTAAAACCCTTCAGTGGCTTCCCATTATACTTAGGATAAAATAAAAAATCCCTTGCCATGGCCTATAAGGCCTTATCATATTGGCCTCTGCACCCCCTTCTCTCTCTTTGTACTTCCCACTCATCACTGCACCTTGGCCACACTGACCTTTCTTCTGACCCATGTGCATTCCATTCCCATTTCCTGGCCTTCACACTTGCAGTTCCTGTCACTAACATGCCCCCTCTCCAGATTTTTGCATGGTTTCTTCCTTCTCATCATTTACATATCAACGTAAATACCACCTCCCCTCAAAAGGCCTTTCCTGCCACCCTCTCCTCTTGATGATAAAGCAGGACCCTCAGTGTCTATAGCCAGTGCCTCTTTAACCCTATTTTATCTTCCTCGTAGCATCCGTCAGCGCCTAAAATAGTCTCACGTGTTTGTTTATGAGTCTGCTGCACATCTCTCCACTAGAATATAAGCTCTCGGAGGGCAGGACTCTGTCTGTCCTGCTCACTGCACCAGCCCCAGTGCTTGGCACATACTAGACACATAATCAATCTTCATCTGCCTGGTTGTCTGCCGTGGCTTCTTTCTGGCTCTACACTGCTTCTGGCCAGGATAATTGTGTCCAAGTTGTCTTTCCCAGGGATGTAGTTCAGTACCATTGGGCTATTTGTTAAGCAGCAAAGAGTTAACTGGTGGAATTCCAGACATCAATTGGCAGGTACGGAATGCCCGTGGGTACCATTCATGGTGCCTTTGAGAGTACACGGTTCCTTCAACATCCGCCAAGTGCTGGGGCCGCGGCTACATGGTAGAGGTAGGAAAATTGTCAATGGATGATGATTTGGGGTTTTGTCAAGCCAAGAAGTGCGAGGGGTGGAGGAGAGGTAGGCAAAGGCATTGCACATAGGTACACCACCATTTCATGAACTAGGTATGGCAGCCTTCCACCTTCTCCTTCTGAGGACTCACTGAGCCTAGAAATACAGGGATGGTAGCCCTATGGCTCAGAGCTGAAAGAGAGGCTTGAAAAGAACAAATCAAACTGGTACAAATCTAGTTTGCTCCAACATCTCTCAGTTGATATGCACAGGGAGACACTTTTTCCAGCAGTGACTTCCAGTCTCTTACTCAGCCTTTGCTTTCCTCTCTCCCTGGTGCCGCAGGTCTCATCGTGCACGAGGGACCCTCTGTGTACCGCATCTTTAAACGCTGGCAGGCTGTCAACCAGCAGTGGAAAGTGCTGAACTATGACAAGACAAAAGACCTGGAGGACCAAAAGTCGGGAGGCAGGACAAATCCCCGGACCTCCTCAGCCACCCAGGCCAATGCCCCCTCCTCAGAAGAGGAGGCCGGGGGCACTCCGGGCCCTGAGGAAGGCCCTGCCCGGGTGGCCAGCCACCCCTCAGGCCCTCTGTCCGATCACCACTGTGCTTATACCATCCTGCACATCTTGAGTCACTTACGACCTCATGAACAGCGGAGCCCCCAGGGCGGGAGCCGGGAGCTCGTCATGAGGGTCACGACAGTGTGAGACGAGAGACCTGGAAGGGAGGCCGTGACCATGCACAGAGATGGGAAGGCTGGGCCAGGAAGGGGCCAGGGCCTGCCGGGGCCACAGTCTGGGGAGCAGGTGTGGGGAGGCCAGGGGGCACCCCAGGGGCTGGAACAGAGGGCAGGCAGAGGGCGGTGGGCCTTGAGGGGGGCCTGCATGGCAGGGTCAGAGCTGGAGTGAGTGAGGCTGGTGGCCAGTCAGTCGAGCCTAATCTCCCAGAAGAGCAAGGAACTCCAGGACAGAGTCAACAAGGAAGTGCGATCCAGCTGGAAACTAAAGGAAACACAAAGACGACAATCCCGGACGTGCCCATGCACACAACACCTGGGGGAAGAGGGGGCTGGGGAGGGCGAAGCCGGGGAGTTGTTGGTGGTCATGCCCCTGTGGGCATGAGGGTTGGGGAGGAACAATGCAAAGGGTGCACGAAGGAAAGGCACTGTGGCCTGCCTTGTTTCCCCCTTGAGTTTGCTTTTGTTTCTCCCGGGGCTGTGTTTGGGGCCGTGGTGGGGAGGGAGAGGGATGGGTGTGGGCTAGCAAGGATGACAGGCAGCATTGGTGGCCTCTGGGCTCATCTGGGTAGGCAGGATTCCTGACTCAGATGGCTTTAGGGACTCTGGGGCCATGTGCAGGGAGGGAGGTTCTGGAGCGAGCCCCCAGTGGGAGGGTGATTTTTGACTTCTCCCAATTTCAGAGGGGCTCAAAGGGGGCTTAGGTTTGGAGGTGGGTGTCTTTTTGTGCCCTTGTTGCTTTATTTTATGGTGGTTTGGCTCAAAGATGTTTACAAGAAACACACACACAACTAGAGAAAAGTACAGGTTTCCTGTGGGTATCTCAAGCACAGTCCTGCTGTGGCTTCCGCCTTCAAAGTTGTCAATCCAGGAGTGACTTTCCCAACTACCCAACCCTGCCCATGGCCAGGACACTCTCAATGTCATGCTTTCTGCTTTGGCGCATGCAGAGACCCAGGGCCCCCAAGGGCAGAGCACCTCCCACCCAGGATAGCTGCTACAACAGATGGGAGGAAGTTGGCTGGACATGCCCCAAGGAGTGGAGTGGAGACCAATCTAAGTATTCCTTGTAACTCGGGACCCTCTCTGGAGGGCGGTCATCCTTTAGTGCTACAAACTCCCTGGTCCCTCCCATGTAGCTAGGCAGGGTGCAGGGACCCTAGCAAGGAGCACTGCCCTTGAGCCTACCTGCCAGTTCCTGGGACCTTGCCAGGAAGGCCATGGGGGGTGGTCACCTGCAGAATTTCTCATTGTCAATGCACAATGGCCGCACCATCCATGGGTATTAAAGGGACACTGTCAAGTACTTTTTTAAACTAGTTTTTAGGGTTTTTTAAAACTCTCTGTTGTTTGTATTATTCTCTTAAAAGCTTGAAAATAAAATTTCTTTCCCTATCATTAGTGTCCTTTTCCATATGGAAGTTTTTCCTTCCTTCTTGATTCCCCTCTTTTCTTTGTCGGCTCCACTTTCTTCCTTGCAAGAAATCATTTTTCTCTGAGGGTCCAGAGGGGGCAGGGGTGTGTGTGTGTGTGTGTGTGTGTGTGTGTGTCTGTGAATCAGTGACTTTGACCTCTCACTGGCTTCCCAGCACGTGGATTCCTTCAAGTCAAAAAAGAGGACCAACTCCCAAACTCTCTTTAAGTTTCTGCCTGGGTGTCCTAGAAGCAGAAACCATTAGTGCTTGAGGAAATCTGGAGAGACTTTTTACCCCATTGAGTCATTTCAGAGAAGCTGAGAGAACCACGGGAGAGAGGTGTGTTAGGACCTCATTTCCCCTGACAGTCTTCCACTGAATATCAGAAAAAAAGCTCCCAGTGCACAGCTCTGACACAGGGCTTACTTGCACATCTCACCAGGTAGCAGACCCTTCCTCCCTTCAACTTGCCTGAGCCCTCCGCCTCAGGCCAGCAGTCGGTCAGGCCAAGTCCTCAGTGGGATGTGAGCTAGGAAGGTTCTTCCTCTAATGAAGCTCACAATCCAGCAGGTCAGAGAAGAAATAATAATTGGCGAGAGACCAAAGAACACATGCAAGGAAAACATACAAGCAAGAGAAAACCATCAAAATGGTACAAGTAACTGTTGTAGTGTATGTCTACTTCTCCCTGTGTTCTAGGAATGGGCCATCCAGTTTAATTCAATAGTTGTGGAAAATATCAATGTGTTGGATAAACCATCTATTTCTTTTGTTTTTTAAGATTTTATTTATTTATTTGACAGACAGAGATCACAAGTAGGCAGAGAGGCAGGAAGAGAGAGAGAGAGGAAGGGAAGCAGGCTCCCCACTGAGCAGAGAGCCCGATGCAGGGCTCGATCCTAGGACCCTGAGATCATGACCTGAGCCGAAGGCAGAGGCCTTAACCCACTGAGCCACCCAGGCGCCCCACCATCTATTTCTAAAAAATATCAGGATGCAACAAAATATGCTTGTCACTATAGTGACCATCACATCATCTTTTTTTGGTAATTCACAGGATACCTCAGAAACTTATGGCCATCTGGGGACATCCAGAATATGCTATTCTGAATAAGAGGTGACTAATAGCATTCTGGAATTAGTTGGGTCTTGTTTACTGTCAGCACCTACAGTAGTACCTGGCACACAGTAGGTGCTTAATAAATATTCTGAATGAGGGGCGCCTGGGTGGCTCAGTCAGTTAAGTATCCAAGTCTTGATTTCAACTCAGGCATGATCTCGGAGTCATGAGATTGAGGCCCACGATGAGCTCCACAGTCAGCAGGGAGTCTGCTTGAGATTCTGTCTGTCTCCTTCTCCCTTTGTCCATCCCCCCACTCTCTCTCAAATAAATAAATCTTAAAAAAAATTTTTTTTAATATTCTGAATGAGTAAAACTCCTGGAACAACACAGTTGTACCTTCAGCATGGTGGAAATACACCGCCTCCTTTGTCAACTCACACTCTGGCTCTCCAGATCAATCAGAGTAGAAAAGAAATGTCAGCTTTTGACTTCTCTCCCCAATAGGCTGGTAAATTCCCTGTGCCTTGGAAAATGGAACTTATGGGTACAAAGATGAATGGACTGGGTTTTTATATTTTATATGCACCCCGAGGAGCGAGTAGAAGAGCCCTCTGACAACCAGAGACCATTTTCCCCTGCCAAATGTCCAAATCACCCTCATGCCACCAGACAAATGTCTAGACTTAAGAGAATTCACTGCGTGTCATCTGCAAGTATGGCCCCAGGCATGGGACAAGATACTAGCTAGCTAACACCTAATGCTCTCATTATGTGCCAGGCATTAAATTAACTATGATATATGTATTGACACACTTTGCACTCCAACAACTGATGAAGCAGATACCATTATTACCTTCATTTTATAGATGCGGACACTGAGGCAAAAAGGTGAAGGAATTGGCCATAATCAGACAGAATTCAATCCCAGGCAATCCACTCCACTCCACTCCTCACCCCTGCAGGACAACGGACACTAATTCAAGGGAAAACTGGATCGGCCCAATGTAGGAAGGTCGTCATGGTGGAGGTCTACTGAAAAATTTTGGAAGTTGGGGAAACTGGGGATGAATAATTATAAACTATTTCTGTCTCCTACCAAAAAAAACCCAAAACCAACAAATCAAGCAACCAAAACCCCATAAACTTGAGTGTGTAGCCAAAAATCAATTTTTGATGCTGTCCAGATCATATCGTAGTTGAATAGATACCTATATAATGGAGAGTTGGCTTTGTCTGGGCACTGGGGAATTCTGAAAGGACAATGGACACAGTTCAACCACATTTTTATGGACAAAGCTCCATAAAAGATCACAGAGTACTCTCCTTCTAGGAAAAAAAAAAAAGTTAAAAATTATCCTATTTGAAAATTAGATTTTTGGTCCTGGTTCCAGGTGAGTGGTACAGAGTGGATAGACTGGGGGCTCTAAGCATAGCCACAAAATTTTGGAGAACCCCAGTCAAATCTGTCACCATCTTACAACACATACACAAAAAAAATCAGAATTTTTTAGTCTACGAGATAATCTGCTGCTAATTTTGTTGTTCTGCCCACTGGATCCAAGGACTCATAGCAAAGAGTAGGGGCTTGCTTTGCCTATAACAATAACCAATTCCTAAGAGTAATGATATGCTTTTATAAGCAGAATTCATTATGCTGTGGAGGTGAGAAAGCTAGGAAGCAGGGGAAAAACACATCTTGCATTATTTCTCCTCACCTTTTCTCAATTACCCTGTTCCCTAGTAATAAGCAATCAAGAGTGATTTTCACCTGTAAGGGTCTGAAGCTATAGCGGCGATATAATGGTAAACCTTCTCCCTCACACATCTCCACCCACCTTTATCGGCAGAATGACAAGTGGGAACTGGGAAGTGCTTGGGGAGCCGTGGACAACTGGATGACCCTCCAAGATAACTCAAAGCAATATGAGTCCAGGGTCTGGGCTGTGTTGGGTTGGTGGCCAGCTGTGTAGCTAAGAACCCACCTGTGGCACCATATGGAACCACAAGTCCTTCTTCCTTCTGCCTCTTCCCCCTCAGTGGCATCTCCTCTCCACTCTTCACCCAGCCCACATGGGAACGAGAACCCATGGGCTGAAGGTTTTCCGCCTGCCCAAGCTCCAACCCGATGAGAACCACAGCCCTCATGACCCTGTCGGCCTCTGTTTGCAGGGCTGAGTCTCTTCTCTTTAAACAGGTAACGCATAACCCGGTACCAAACACCTCACCATCACACTCAGTTTTGACCCAAAGCCTCAATAAACAATCAGGGAAGGAGAGGAGCCATGGTCAGGGGGATTCCAGGAAGAAAAGGAAGCGGCTTACCCTGCGTCTGTGCCCTCTTTGTCAGAGACGGAAGAGTCCTGAGAACAGAGCAGCCTCCACGGCCCTGGTGCTGGTCCCAGGCTGGTCCTCTGCGTGCTCGCAAGGCCCGGCCGGCAAGGAAGTGCAGGGCACCTTGAACCATCGGCAGCACGGCTCAGAGCACCGCCAGAGCATCTGCAGTCCTGGGGGTCCTCTCCGACCGAGGGGCTGTCCTCTGCTTCTGGGTCTGTTGATTAAGGAAGCGGAGGCTTGGATTCTGCTTCTGATGATACTGCCCTTTCCCCTAGTCACTTAGCGGGAGTAATAAAAAGAGCAGAATGAGTATTGCTTGCCCTATGTCAAGACTTATCATGAACTTTTTACGTATGTTAACTCATGGAGTTCCCCCAAACCACCCAGCAAGTTGAGAACTACAATTACGCCCATTTTTCAGATGAGAAAACTGAGGACCAGAGAAGTTCAGTGCCAGGCTGGGGTCGCATAG